GTTCACGTCCCGTCTACCCAGCCAGAGACTGTTCCTGTCCCGTCTGCCCAGCCAGAGACTGTTCGCGTCCCGTCTGCCCAGCCAGAGACTTTTCGTGTCCTGTCTGCCCAGCCAGAGACTGTTCATGCCCCGTCTGCCCAGCCAGAGACTGTTCGCGTCCCGTCTGCCCAGCCAGAGACTGTTCGCGTCCCGTCTGCCCAGCCAGAAGAGACTGTTCACATTCCGTCTGCCAAGACAGAGACTATTCGCGTCCCGTCTACCCAGCCAGAGACTGTTTGCGTCCCGTCTACCCAGCCAGAGACTGTTCGCGTCCCGTCTGCCCAGCCAGAGACTTTTCGCGTCCCGTCTGCCCAGCCAGAGACTGTTCGAGTCCCATCTACCCAGCCAGAGACTGTTTGCGTCCCGTTTGCCCAGCCAGAGACTGTTCACGTCCCGTCTGCCCAGCCAGAGACTATTCACGTTCCGTCTGCTGAGACAGATACTGTTCGTCACTTCCGCCGAGCCAGGGTCTCCGGACAAGATGGCTGCTGCCACTCTGTCTGTTCCTGTTCCTGAGCCGTTGTCATCTGTTCCTGTGCCTACTCCAGCCTATGATTCTGTAGCTACCCCGAAGAAAATTTTTCTGTAGCGTTGGGTCAGAAATGAAGCGTAGAGCGAATCCAATTGCAAGCACTATTTTAATAATAATCAAACAAAAATGTAATCCAGGGTAAACAAAGAAACTCAGAACAAAGAACTCAGTTACAGGCAACTATGACCGAAAACCAACAACTGAAGCACAGAGGTTTAAATACACAGACAAACAAGCTAAACAATATAAAAAGGGGGCGGGGCTAATAAGAAACGCCTGGGGAGACTCAACAAGAAAAACTACAAAGGACTACAAAACATGGCACAAAACAGGAAATAACTAAAGTCCACACAAGACAAGGAAAACACAAGACAGGAATCGTGACAGTAATGACCACGCAGTCTAGTCTGAGATGCTTTGAATGTGTTGGAGGGACAGAAACAGTTATGATTTGTTTGTGATTGGTTTCTTAGGTGAATGCTGTAAACGTGGTAAAAGTGGGACACAAGCAGGTGGTGTCACTCATCCGGCAGGGTGGAAATAGCCTCCTTATGAAGGTGGTGTCAGTCACACGCAAGCCAGAGTCTGAGGAGACAGTCAGGAAGAAGGGTAAGGTGCTTGTTCACTTCCAACAGAACTGATTTATCTTGCATATTAAAATGCAAATAAGACTAACAGGGTTGCAGCTTGTAAACAAGGTCTGCAGGTTAATATATTGCTTAAATATAGTTCATATGTTTTCTTGTGTGTTTAACAGTGTGTCTGTCAAGAATAAGTCAGTTACACAAAAATCGTGTAATATTGTGATTGTGGTGTTGTAGTTGAGTTATAGGGAATGTGCTGACTGCTGGTTTTGTTTGTTTATTGTGGGCGGGGCTACTGCAGTCAGACAGAAGAGCTCTTAAAGGCACGGGTTGCTAGGGAACCAGCCTTTGATGCTCTGTACTGTGTATGTAATGATCAGACATTGAGAGATCTCACCCAGCAGGGCAAATCTAGTCTCAAACACGAGGAAAAGAAATGCTGCAAGAATGAATATAGGAGCGAATTTAATGATCACAGCTGATCGTGATGGTAATGACTGTGTTTTTCAGAAGAGAAAACTTCAGGAGCATTAACTAAATGACAGGGTTGTTTGTCACAAAAAAATTGTGATGACTAAACAGATTGAAGCGTCGAAGTATTTTCTGTGCAGCTTTTCCACACACGTTTTCCACACATTTGTGCGTTCCTACTACACCCACTCAATCGATTAGCAGTTAAATGAGTCTATTGGTAGAGTTATTAGAATTATAGCAAAACCTCGAAATGCAAAGAGGAAGTCTATTTAGTATCCATGTAAACTATCCTCACTTTTATCTGCAACTCCCACACAATCCGAACCCTTTATTGACCTGTGTTTAGGTTTAGTTGATGATGGAGCAGCACAGTAAGTCGTTTAGCTGATGCTTTTATCCAAATCCTCTCACAGTAAGGTTTGAATCTGGCTGGCAGGTTGGTTAGTCTGGTCCAAATGATGTTGATGCTTTAAAGGTGATCAAACTTCTCCTTGAAAAGTGCCAATAAGCGCCACCAAGCTTAAAGAAAAAAAGTGGAAAACATAGCAACAGATGCTATTTACACTAAGGCTGTGTGTCCACCAAAGTGTTTTTTCTCCAAGGCTAGCCTATTTTTTTCAATTGTTTTCAATGGGAGCATCACGTTTATAAAACGGCAGCAGCGTGACAAGGCAGAGTGTCTGTTTCACACATTTTTCTGGACGTTTTTTCAAGCGGTCGCCGAGAATTGAAGAATGGTCAACTTTGGGTAAAGCGCAGTGCTCATCACTGTCACTTTTTACCCAGCAGCCGTCCAATCACAGTGGAGAAAGGGCGGGACAAATACAACACCGACCAACCGCCACATTCTGCTTGTACAACTTCAACAGATGACAACATCAAGCATAATAAGGAAACAAAATAATTTTGAACAAGAGCCAGAGCAATTACATTATTAGATACTAGTATGATAAGATATTAGATATTAGATGATATTTATACTTTGTGCAAATAGTGGCAGATACTGTTTGCACCTCAGTGTATGTATTGTATTATAAAACAGTGAGCTATGACAAAGTCCCTTTAAGACAAGTTATTTCTCTCGGCGGCCATCTTTAAAACGACTCTCGGGCATTCAAGTGCCGCTCATATCTCTTTGAATAGGGAAAAATAAAATTCTCCAAAACTGTTCGCCAAGTTTATGATTAAATTTCATATTTGATCTCTGTCTCTAATTTTGTTTCTAAACGCTCAAATCATGACAGAAAATGAAAATGTTCAGGCTGGATCAAGCTCATGCGCAGCAGAAGCTCGTGTCTGACCGTTGTTCGTTGTCTTTTGTCTTCCGGTCTGTATTTTCACTGTGATCTTACGTAATTCTGAATGAACGGCTCGTTTTAAAATCTTCCCGGTCTACTGATTTTTGTTAAGACACCTGCTTTAAACATTAGATTGCTCATGATAACGTTTTTTAACTCCACATTAAGTAAATCCACTTCACCAGCTAATTGCTCTTTGAGATCGATGCCATAAAATATACAGAGTGAAATTTTTAAAAAAGTGCAGGAGTGTGTTCTTGTGATTGGTTCTGCGAGAGTCTGGGTGTGTGTTGATTTCCCGGCTTTACTTCCTGCTCACTACTGCGCATGTCTGGTCCAGAAATCGCTTCTGGGCAGACTCAAGTTCCTAGATATCAGCGCCATATCGGAATACTGGCGGCTTCACTTCTGACCAATGGAAGAGAGCGAATCCATCTTTTTTTACAATCTATGGATAAAATCATCAGATAAAACCAAAATGCTTAAACTTCCAATTACAGGCCTTTTTATTTTATTTATTTGGTTAATAAATAGCAATTAAGTTGCTGGATTTTATTACATTGCATTTTATTACATTGCATCAAATATTTTCAACAAGTGAGTCTCTCAAGTGTAAAATGCATTAACTTAATTTATATTTAATGCATTTGGCAGATGATTTTATCCAAATCTGTTTACATTGCATTTAAGCTATGCTGTTGATTAGTTCATCTAACTCATGGAAATCGAACTCATGACCCCTGCGTTGTCAGCAGCAAGCTCTAAAGCCTGAAATAGAAATGAAATATCCCTACAATCAGAGCAAAGTGATTTTTTTAGTATTATTAATATTGTCGATTAGCCTGGGTTTCCCCATGCTGCCTTTGCACAGCACGATTTTATTCACGATTTTATTCACGCTGCTAGATACCATGGACCAAATTTTCGCCTCAGCGAGCGGACTAATCACAGATTGGGGAGGGAGCAGCAAGACGATGATGACGTCAATGCGACTCACTGAAGCAGTTTGTTTATACCTACAGTATGGATCCAACATGGCAGCTGACTTGAAGTTACCTTTCAATGCAGCCTTAGATATTGTTCTATGTAGTTTTAAAACTAAATCTCTGACCCATCGTCTTCTTCCTTGTCTAATTTCTTTCGCTCTACATACGTCATCTGGTATTATTGAAACGATTGGCTATGAGCTACGTAGAGGTGCATTTGATAGACATTCGTAGCACCCAATAAACGGCTCTGGGCATTCGTAAACCACGCTTCAAAAATGAGAAAATGAACATGTGGTTCCCAGACCACGTCTCAATGTCAACGAGACATGGCCAGGCTAAGTGTCGATAAGAATGTTGTTCTTACTTGTCAAAATCACGCTCACCTGCAAAGTAATTGCAGAACTCTGGGCTATGCAAACTATCACACACTTATACACACTACTGATGAAATAAAAACGGAGTGTCTGTGTTAGTTTTGTGGCTAAATCCTCCCACACACACATACAAACTCACACACACAGATTCTCACAGTTTAAATGCACAAACACAGGCCTTGCTCCTGCCAGAGTTGCCATGGTTACTACAATGCATGTTTGAAGTAAGTATTGCATTAGTGCCTTGGTATTTCTCTCCCCATCTCTCTCTCTCCAGAGCTCTACTCCGGTCTGCAAGGTTGTTAGCTGAAGGAGTGAGGAGTTGTACGCTGATGTTATTGAGACAACAGAAGTGTCTGATCTCCTGGAACTCTGTTCGTTTTCTTGGTGCTTCATTTTATGCTGATTGGGAGTTTATATCATGCTTTGGCTATAAAGCGTCAGGTTTCGTTTCTGAGAGACAAAGGTAAACTCGACCACCCTTTGGGTTGTAAGAGAATGAATGTGAAATGAAGGATTTTGGGAGACAAGTATTTCTTTCTACCATCCATCAGAGGGCCACCAAAGAAGAAAGTGGGTTTCTGGACGCGTACGCACACAGGAGATGTCTGATAGTTACATGATTCCAGAGAGAGAAAGACGGCAGGATAGAGTTTAATCGTGGTGCGGCAGTGTGGTATATTGTGATCTTCAGATGAAGATGGTGAAAAAGCGCTGGCAGCTGCCGATGGGCAGCAGCCGTGAAGGCCCCACGCCACACCATCGCATCTTCTCATCTACTCCTTGCCTTTCCTCCACAGCACCCCCGCCTCCAAAAAGAGCACCCAGCACCACCCTTACCTTGAGGTCCAAAAGCATGACCGCTGAGCTCGAAGAGCTAGGTAAGACGTCCTCGAACAAACACACATACACACGAGTTGATTTGTGGGATTGAATAGTTTTTCTAAATTTCTTTAGATTTTTTATTTTTTTTGTCTTAGAGTTTATTCATAGGGATGCTAACAGTTTACTGGGCTTTAGCATCCTGTCAGGGAAGTAAACTCATTACTGTGAAAGCCAACTAAACACCGCTTCTGTAACAAATCTCAAATCTGTAAGAAAGTCGCATTTCGGCCATTATTATGCGTATTATTTCTGTACAGAATAAGGTTATCATTATTTTAACTTGTATATTTGTTGAATATCCCTCATATATCCTATTGAAGGAATGCATGTTCTTGGATTCAATGCACACAGTCTTCCTTATAATTAACTAGTAATTAACTTAACACATGCACACACTTGGATGCAACATTTTCTGTCTCTTTCTTCCCGTTGCTCTTTCTTGTTTATTTATTAACGGTGTCATCTCCCTCCTGCAGCCATTTGGGCTGTTCGAAACATTAGCTGTCTTTCTCTCTCGCTCAATCTGTGCTCTGAATTTACTGAGTTCATTACACACACTTACGTTCACACACTGAAACACATATCGACAAACATTTGCTGCTGTGAGACTTTAATGGAGAAGTGTTCTGTACATTTATTTCATGCTCAGCCTCTAGGAGGAGAAGAGGGGGTGAGTTACACATTACTGTTTTTAGAAACCGGCAAAATCCCAGCAATATTGCTATATCATGTGCATGCAACCATCTTCAGCTTGCTCACGCTGGAATATGCTTTATTTAGCTCTGTTCCAAAACCTAGTGAGCCAGCTTTTTTGGGCGTTCTCAACATTAAGGCAGCTAAATTATGTTGTCTTTATAAATACCTGTTTTGGATGTCACAGAGAAATAGAAAAAGCTCCAAATAACCATTCTATATTAAAATAATTGAATAAATTGAATTAAATGACTTAATAAATATAAGTATCAATAAAAAAATCATATAGATAAATTAAACAAATTTCATGCTTATTTGAATATCACACTCTTAGGGTAGCAACATGGGCTAATGCCAAACTCTGTGGAAATGCATTGTGAGTTTTGCCTTTCATATGCGTCATGTGAGGAACGCTGTTTGTGTGGCATGTGGAGTGTCCCAAATGAGTCACTTATTAGGTTCTATTTCAGTTAGGATGCTGCCTTAGGGACCGTTCACACAGGAAGTTTTTTAATTGTTTTTCTTTGTAAACATACCTTGCTAAACTTCAAAAGAACAAAAGAGTGGATCCAATGTGAATGGCACTGCTCAATTAGACAGTATACAGCAGGCAGATATATAGATTGGAACTGAGCTAGTGTGTCATCTACACCTTTTGCCATAAATGAGGAGCAATGATGCATTGTGTTAATTTGTTTTATGGCATTAAGCATTTCCATTTCATATTTACTTTGCTATTATTTTATTTGAAAGCTTGGGATCAGATTCATATTACACCTTTTTGAGTACTATTGGTGTGGATGTGTGTAATGAACTTGGTTTTGTCTGTGTGTTTGTTAACAGAAAGGCTAGATGAGATTTTGGCCTCTCAGGAGGCCGTACTGAGGCCAAAGGTAGAAGACTACAGAGCAGCCACGGTGAAGCAACGTCCTACCAGTCGCCGAATGACACCAGCAGAAATCAGTGTAAGATACAGTATGTGCGCACACACACACTCAAATGATCATAAAGTGTCCCATTTCAGCTGTATTGACCAGCAGATATGTTGTCTATATACACTGGACTAATATACCAGTATAATTTCACTGAATATAAGCATCTTAAAACTCAACATGCTGTATGCTTGTTACCAGCTATGCTGGTACTTTTAGCTGGGTTAAAGCCTCTTACAATAGCAATGGCAAGCAGAAACACTACTGTTGATAATATGACATAATTTTTTGCTTTACCTTTTAACATATATGTCTTCTCGGTTTTTGTGCAGTCTCTTTTTGAGCGGCAAGGACTTGCTCTTCATGGTGCTCTTCATCCAGCATTGGAAAAAGCCCACATGCAGCTGCCGAAAAGCATGGCTAGAACAAAGTCTTTTGGTAATATATATAAATATTTGAAATATACAATGCTCTATTAAGCTGCTTCGTTTCATACAGCAGTGAAGTGTTACTGTATTTTGATCCACAAATCTGAATGCATTGAAATGCCATATTTTGGCACACTGTAACATTAAAGGAACGTTACAGTTATGGACACAGACCAAATCTGCAAAATATTGCACACTGGTTCATCATCCAAGCTCAAACAAAACCCCAAATACATTTTTATAGATCTTTCTGTCTGTCTGTGCAGGAGCAACCGAAGAGGATCGACTGTCTGCCCTAGCAGCGGAACACAGGTTTCCACGGAGCTCCTCCATGACGGACAGCCTGAGGGACAGCCATAGTATTCCTCCACCTCCCCAAATGGCTCCCCCACCTCCCCCGTCACTTTACTATCTAGATACCGGACCCCCTCCTTCGTTCTGCCCACCTCCTCCCCCTGGCCGCATTCATGACCCTAGCCGTTCCAGTTTTAAACCAGGCTCTGAGCCAAGACTGCATGCTTTGCCACAGACAATGTCCGCTGAGCTTTATGAGCCGCCTCGCCATGCCTCCCACATGGAACGGCAGAAGAAAGCCCGCTCCATGATCATTCTGCAGGACTCCACCCACCTCCCCGTAGAGCCTACTGACATCCCCAGGCCAGGTCCTATCTCAACTCCGCCCGAGAGGATCAAGCGGAAAGGTCGAGTCATCGATAACCCCTACGCCAATGTGGGCCAGTTCAACGTAGGCCTGTTCATGCCGCCTCCCAGCAAGCCACAGCGGAGGAAGAGCCCACTTGTAAAGCAACTGCAGGTGGAAGATGCTCAGGAGAGAGCCTCACTAGCACTGGCATCCATCCATGCAAGAGAGCACTCTCCCTCTGGGCGCCTAGCTGCCCACCACACCAGCAGGGCTGATTTCTATCATCAGCAGCAGCAGCTGTTGAAGGAACGCAGTCAGGCTCAGGCTGAGGGATTGTTGCAAGGGAAAGGACCTTTTGCTGCTGCAATTGCTGATGCTGTGAAAGACCGGGAACGTCGTCTGGAGGAGAGGCGGAAATCTACAGTCTTCCTATCAGTGGGCACTATGGAGGGCAGTTCAGCACCACCCCCAGAGGCCCCCTCACTCACACCATCACGTTCTGTCGATGAACTAATGCTCACACGTGAACTTGGTCAGTTGCCTCCTCCCGCCTTGGCGTTGCGTCCCTCGCCTGGGGGCACCACCTTCATTCACCCACTGACGGGCAAGCCCCTGGACCCTAACTCTCCATTGGCACTTGCGCTGGCCGCAAGGGAACGAGCATTAACCTCCCAGAGTCAGTCCCCTTCAAGCAGCCCTGAGCCCAGAACTAAACACGAAGCAGCTGGAGGGGTGCTGTATATGGAGACCCAGACCAAAGAGGCTGAGCGGTCAGAGGCTGAGGGGGAGTTTGCCTCGCCTCCCTTTTCCCCTGCGGCAAAAAGAATTTATGAGACCTCCGCCCCCACCAGCAAAATTCAGTGGGGAAGTCCCATATCCACCAGGAAAGATTTTGAAACAAGGACAGAAAGGAAGGAGGAGGGCAAAATTGAGGACAAGAAAAGTATGATCATCAGCATCATGGACACATCTCAGCAGAAAACTGCTGGGCTTATCATGGTTCATGCAACGAGTAATGGGCAGGCTGTGGGGCCCAGCCCAGAGCACAGTGTCCCCTCTCCTAAGGCATTGTCAGAGAGTCCAAAACCCATGTTGGCTGAAATAAAACGAGCCAAGTCCCCTGGTCCTGATGCTTCTTCAATATCAACCCCACCCCCAGCCACAGCTCCAGCTTCCCAGCCATCTCCCACCCCAGCCGCAGATAAAACTCTGGCTCAGGGTAGTTCCGAAGAGGATGTCGATCCCTACACTGTCACCTTGCCACCTGCCATGCTCTCCTCCAGTGATGAGGAGACGCGTGAGGATCTCCGTAAAATTGGTGTGGTTCCTCCACCGGATGAATTTGCCAATGGCCTTCTTGGAAAAACACCTGGAACTGCAGTACCTCCTGTTCATACACTGGGGCAGACAACCCCTTCTGCCCTGCCCTCAGCTCCACCCCCACTCCCTGCCCCTCCAGCAGCGGTCGCCGCTGCAGCACAGGTTCCCGCTAGCAGTGGCCCACTTGCAGCCTCAGGGAAGCCATCTGAGTCCCACCTGGGCCCAGAGTCTGCTGCTGACTCTGGGGTGGAAGAGGTAGACACTCGTAGCTCCAGCGATCACCACTTGGAGACCACGAGCACCATCTCCACTGTCTCCAGCATGTCTACACTGTCCTCGGAAAGCGGCGAGCCCACGGACACCTACACCACCTACGCAGATGGCCAGACGTTCATTCTTGATAAGCCGCCAGTGCCTCCAAAGCCAAAGCTCAAGTCCCAGCTCAGCAAGGGCCCGGTGACATTCAGGGACCCCCTGCTTAAACAGTCATCTGATAGCGAACTGCTCTCACAGCAGCACGCGGCTGCGCTGGCTGCTGCTGCGGGAGCCTCAGGCCCGGCCAGACCCCGCTACCTCTTCCAGAGACGCTCCAAGTTGTGGGGGGACCCTGTGGAACCCCGTCCGCTTTCGGGGGCAGAGGAAGGCAAGCCCACTGTGATCAGTGAGCTCAGCTCAAGGCTGCAGCAGCTGAACAAGGACACACGCTCACTTGGGGAAGAGCCACTTGGAGCTTCACTTGACCCCGGAAGGAAATCACCCGTGGTTGGTGCAAGGTAAGGCATGAATCCTGAAGAAGAGCAAACGCACATCAATTTCAAAACCAAAACAAAACACCCATGAAAATAATTTCAAAACATTTTTAAAGCAACATAGTAAAGGGAAAAAGAAGTTGTTTATACTGCAAATGCAAGTTTCCTATTGGTTTAATGGCAGTAAGAACATTTACCGTGTGCAATTCTTTTCCTAAATCTGACTAACGATGTTCAATTTAAACTCACAGTTTGAATTCAGTAATATTAAATAAAAAGAACATGCACACGATATATTAAACATCCTTGTGAAAATGACATGCCCCAAAGCATGCCAAAAAAAATCAAATCCATAAATATTAAGTGTTAATGTTTAACATGCTTTCTTCATTGAGACGTTTGGAGCCCCAGAACTATCTCAGCATTCGACAACCACTGGTAAGTAACGTAGAATAGCCTCAGGCTGATCTCAAAGCTTTACCCTACAATCCGTAGACAATATTAAAGTGATATACTGTAGACATTTCTGTAGATTCATAAATACACATAACCAGAGCTACAGGGACAGTTTGAGTTAAAACTATTAATTAGAATGAAGTTGTCATATAAGAGCTCAAAGGGCAATGATTTTTCTGTCTTGATTTTTTAAAGCACCAGCTTTGTACTATTGTGCTTATATCCTAAAATACAGCTGAAGTCCTTTATATCCCAACAGATGTGACAAGGACATGGAAGACAGTAAACCTTAGCTTTTAGCCACTAGGGTAAATCAAATGTCATTTCTTTTATTTTCTATTGTTTAACAATCCACTAATCCCATACTCAATCACTTTTGCTTACATTACTCTTGGTTTTATTAACAAATTCTGCAGGTTCTTGTGTTCCCTTGTCCACCCTGGCAAATTAACACAAAAATATGGCATAGTGCATCCAGTTTGGTCATCAGTTTCGCTATGACACCTTCAATGAACGATACATGATACAACTCAAATGCTTTCTCAATTCCATTTAGTAGGTTGACTACATTGACATGAATTGGATTTTAACCATGAAGTGCTTTGCCATTCGGGTGTTCACAAGGTAACAGATGGCCTGAGGGCATGCACCATCTCAGACTTTGACCTTTCACCTTCCAAACCCTGACACATCTAACTTAGTGGGCTTTTCCCTGCGGCCTGCTCCTCTGTGGCACTGTGCTAGCAGTATGCATGTGGGTCCAGGTGTGACTGATGTTTTTTGCAACATCCTACAAATATGAATGTGTTGTTTGACCCATGTTACTCGCAGTACTCTTGTGTTTTGAGATAAGTTACTCCTTAAAACTCAAGTTTGTCCAGCCCCTGTGTTAAGACAATGCGATTTTTATTCATAAACCAAATTGCATTGCAATAAATTAAATTGTTTAAATTATACCAGCTGAGAGTTGCCATTTCCCATCAGAAAATCCAACATAAAACCAACATAATCATCAGTGTCATCATAATAACAATCTCTCATTCCTCTCAGTCTGCATAGTCGTTTAAAAATATTTCTTTTTACTTCCCATCATTAAGACATGCTGTCCAAGCTTACTGTGCTCGCTGAGTGTTTCATTTCTGTATCTGTTTGACACTTTCATCCTTTAATCATGCTAACACAGTGACCGCTCCGGCTTCTTCTTAGGGAAATGGTTGCTCATGTAGTTTTATGCTTTGTTTATTTTTCTTACATATTTGTTCATTTTATTTTGCTTAATTTTTGTTTCATTTGACCAGAACGGCACCTTACCCCAGACACAAGATGTATTGAAAGAAATACTTTACATCATCATTAAAAAAAAAAAAGTCAGTCATTATTGGTAATGTTTATATGTGCGTTTTCCACTACTGAAAGCTGACGTCTGGGGATAGCTGCGCTCTGGTCCGTGTCACTATGCATTTGTTTTGCATTCGATTGACATTGCTGAGGATGTGATGTGTGTGGTGTTTGTTTTTTGTTCTGTCATGGACTGATGCTAACCGACCGCTCTCTCTCTCTCTCTCTCTCTCTCTCTCTCTCTCTCTCTCTCTCTCTCTCTCTCTCTCTCTCTCTCTCTCTTTCTCTCTTTCTCTCTCTCTCTCTCTCTCTCTCTCTCTCTCATTGCCCCCCCCCCCTTCTCGCTCTCTTTCTTTCTCCATCTCCCCCTCTCTCTCTCCCCCCTTACTATCTCTTTATATCTCTCACTCTCTCTCTTTGCATGCTACGCTGCTCTGTCTAGAGCTGAATCTGAGGCTAAGCCCAGAAGAGCCGGGCACCTGTGTAAGTGCGCATGAATCATCTCATCTCTTTTTTCTGTCTGTTTCCACACCTCTAAGTCAAGCCCTGATCATCATCCACCCTTCCTCATCTACTGACCCGCCCTATGCTAATTTGGCCAGGCCCCCTCTGCTTAATTGTCCTCAATCATCAAGTTACACAGGCTAAAGGATTTGATCAATTCAGGTATAGGACATTTGTTTTCCTTGTTTTCCTTTAGATTTTCCATAGGCTGCTTCTATAGATATGATAGATAATGATCAGAGCTTGCATTCATATTGCTAAATAAGTTAGCCTCTTCACCCAGATGCATAAATATGGTTGACTTGGCTATTCACGTAACAATATCAAATTATGAATTGATATAATTATTTAATTCTTTAATCCAAAAATACTATATATGTTGGATATTATAGTGTATATATATATATTATCGTAAAATATGTATTTAAAAACTAAAACATCATATGTAATTTGAAGGTTGAGATGTTATGCGTGTCTCTACATCTGTCTTCTGGTCTTCTGTCATCTTCTATTTTTTCTCATGTAGTGCATGTTTGGTTGTGCTTTCAGTGTTCTACTGTAAAGTGCTCATAAAATCTGTGTAAATCTAGACACGTTATGCATTTCATTCAGATATCATTCGAACTCACGTAACACCCCAGTCATTATCTTTGATTGTTTTTTGAGTAATTATGTCTGATCTTCACCTCAGTGCTCACGGAAGTAGATTTTAAGTGGAAAGAGAGTTTATATGATATGAGAAATAAATTATTTTAATGCCAACAGCTGAAATTAAAATTAAAAAAAATGTATTACGTATATACATTTGGTAAACTTTGTGTTTAGTTTGATTCTATTTCAACTAAATTTAACTTGAACATTTTAATAATAAGGTCCTGGTTGTTAACATTGGTTAATACATTAACTACCAGCGACCAATACATTTGTTAAAATATAATCTTTGTTAATGTTACTTAATAAAAAATATAGTTAGTAAAATTAGTAGTAGTAATGTATTAGTAGATGAATACAGTACATGATGTTAATGAATTTAGTTAACTAATTTGAACAAAATCAAACCATATTGTAAATTAGTGCTGATAGTTTTAGATATTTTCACTGAAGAATCAAAAAAAGATTTTAAAACTCATTAGTCTCTTTTTTGTTTAAATATGGTGCATTTTGGAAGGAAACTTAAAATTTTAGTTCTATGACACATATATAAACTCTAAAAACAAACTCTAAAAACTCTCAAATGTATGATTCGGTATTAAGATTTCACTCTGTATGATAGTATGAGGTTTTCTATCTATCTTTGCTCCACAGGTCTAACACCTTTGCATTCTACTGTTAGAGCTTAAACGCATTAATGAAGAATCTCACTAACACTAGTTTAATACGTTTGCCACGTCTAACTCAAAGCGTAGAGTCCTAACATAGCTGATGCTGTTACTAAAACTGGGAAATCTCAGGACTTGGAATCTCAAAGTTGACTTTCATTCTCTCTTCCCTTTCTCTTTTCTCTGTTCTCTACTTTTAGACTCTTCAGCAGTTTGGGGGAGCTCCATACTATCTCTCAGAGAGGCTACGGCACCACCTACACCATCAGACCAGGCAGCCGATACCCAGTGACCCGGCGGACGCCAAGCCCCGGTTCCCCGGACCGCTCAGATCCTCTGGGACCCATCCGGGGCTTTGGCCTGGCCACTTCTCCTATCACACCCCCCACCATCCTTAAGTCGTCTAGCCTCAGTCTCCCTCACGAACCGAAAGAAGTGCGTTTCGTCATGAGGAGCTCCAGTGCGCGGAGTCGCTCTCCCTCTCCCGCCCCTTCGCCGGGCATGCCCTCCCCCCTGCTGGCCCTTCGGCCGTTCCACCAGAAGCCCCTCCACCTGTGGAACAAGTATGACGTAGGCGACTGGCTGGCCAGCATTAACCTGGCCGAACACCGGGAGCGATTCCAGGAGCATGAGATCGAGGGCTCCCATTTGCCCGCTCTGACCAAGGAGGACTTCGCTGAGCTGGGTGTGACGCGCGTCGGTCATCGCATGAACATTGAGCGCGCTCTTAAACTGCTGCTGGAGAGTTGACCAAGCGCCTCCCTCTGCCTGTAGCTAGTCTCCACACAGTTTATTTTCTTATTTGCTTGTGTTTTTATTTTACTCGTGATTCTCAGACTTTAAAGCCAAAGTGTGTCATTTTTATGTTAAAATACTTTCTCCTATCCCAGCTTAATATTAGCTTCAAAGTGTTGCTCTGATCAAATGAGCAGCTCAACCAAACCCGACATATTTGGGAAACAATTTGAATGCAATAATTAATTTTTCCATTTCTGATTGCCCCAAAAATGACACACTCCAGCTTTAAATAACCCCATTATTTCCTAAACCTATCATTGGTAAAGTGGGTGTTTGCTCCATGCCATTTTTGTAGCACTATGTTAAGCCCCTCCCACATCAATGCCAGCCTCAAATCACATGGGTGCTGTGTGTTTGGGAGGGGCTGTGAATTGACTTTGTTCACACTGTACACAAATCTGATTTTTAGGACTGACTGATGAAATCAGATCCGCTTTTTCAGGCAGCATATTCAACTTTCAGAAACAAAATCTGGAATCATGTTCGTCATGGATTCTTGCCGTGGTGCTGAACTCATGATTCATTGAAGTGTTTTATGCATTTTTGCAAATTTCATAGTGAATTAGGAAAAACTACTTTAAATTCCCTCACAAATGTAGTTTGAAAATTCCGATTTCATGTTTAGCGACAAAAATACACCAAAACGTGTCTTTGTCTGAACAAAGCCCACGCAGAACATCTCATAATTGATTCTTCAGTTTTATTAGCATGATAAACACCCACTAATCCCGTAGTCCCAAATCCTTTTTTTTTCCTGCTTCTTACCACAACATCATTGATCCATAAAAAAAGGAGGGATGCTGTTGAGAATAGGAAGTTCAGTTGCCTTTCAGAGTATTTTTTTAGGAGTGGATGAGCAGACTGGGCGTGGCCAGATCCTCTCTGTCTACCACCTGCCCCCTTCTGGCTGAGGGACGTACTGCACTCGGAGAATGTTTAACCAATACTAGTGGCTTTTTTTCATAATCAGACTCTCACTTTGGGTTTCCAAAGGAAATATGACATTAGATAGAATATCTCAATGTATTTAAATAGCTTTGAAAATGGAGAGGGACAGCAAACAGGATGGACTGTGCAAAACCGCACCTGTCTCTCTCCCTAGATGATTTAGTCCACCAATAATTTACTCATTTTTACCAATTATATACATATATATTTGACAGAAAAAAAGTATATAGATATATGAATATAACATTTTTGTCATAAATATAAAACTTATATATGATATTATATACATATATAAAGACAAAAAACACTCTTGAAGATGATTTTTTTGATGGTTATCCTTTTATGATGGACTGTAGCATGAAACGTTACATCACCATACGAAATGACAGTTGACTGGTTCGATTGATTTGAATTGTACAACCCCATTTTTTGCTTTCGTTTGTTATAATTTTACAGAACCTGGTCTTCCATCTATTATTGAACATCCCACAGTGGGGTGTAATGGTGTATGTTTGAGCCCTTCACACAGACCACTTTTGTTATTTTTCGTTTGTAATTTTTCATATAACAAAAAAAAAAAAAGTGTTACCAATACAGTTACACGCTTTCATGCACACAACCACACTAGTTTCTTATCCAAATATGACTTTGCTAAATCAAAAGTCTTCTTAATCTGGTAATACGAAATTCTGAATAAGAAACTGCAATAAGTGTGCGTGTAAGCGAGTGTGTGAACAAACGTGTGTGAGGTGTGCATGACAGAACCACTGTGGGACGAGAAACATCTGTAATATCGCAGCTTATCTTGATGGTGATGGCTGGTGTTCAACATCTCATAAACAAACCAGAAGACAGAATCTATAATTGTAAACGTTTCCACCGTATGGCTTATATGGTAATCTGTTTGTTTTGGCCTTTTTTTATTTCTTTATTTAATGTTTTGTTTTGGGTTTTTTTTTTTCTCTCCTCATAGGTGGATTTTGTAGCTTGTGAAATATGATGCTTAGAAGAATTTTTATGAATTCATTTAGAATGAATTTTAGGATGACAATTATTTAAAAGATGAAGCTAAGGACAAAAGATTTATTGAAAAAAACAATCAGAAAAAAAGCTCAGAGATCCTGCAGCTGTATATATATAGTCAAATGACTAAAATATTTGCTTTTTATATCAATCACAAGCAATGTATATACGATAGTTTTCATATAAATTTTTAAAATTCAAAAAAGATATAGATCTATATATGAATGTTTGGCATATATGCATAGTTAACCACCTGTGAAAAAAGGTGAAGATTTTACTCTTTGTACGGAGTTCGGGGGTGATTTGCACAAAACAAGGTGCTAGCATTTCAAGCCATTCATTCCCACCTGTCTGATTCTAACCCTCCATTAGGGCTCAACAGATGCATATGACCTGTTTGTATATTTAAAATGAAGCCTGGGACATGCAAACACACTGATGCTCATTTCTGTTCAGTCTTGTTTTTGATGTGCGTTTTTCTAAACAGACTGTGACAGAGGAGAGAGTTAATGCTTCACCCATTGGTCAGCTAAAATCTGTCCGCATGCAAACAGCCAAGGACGACAACACCTTCTCAGTGCTTCGTTAGACGAGTGTTTTTGATGACACGCCAGTAACACTGTGTAAGAAAGCCCCTTCCGTAGGAGCAACTTTGACTCTGAGTAGTTGATAGCATATTTATCTTGACATGGATAAAAAAGAATCTGTGAGCGATTGAAGTACAGCCAGTTTACAGTACAGTTAAATACACATCACTCAATCCCATTCTGTACACACAGTTAAATATGGGAGTGGCATTCTACAACTGAATTTATTATGAGAAATTGATCTTAATTTGGAGATTTTATTTATTTATTTATTTATTTCATTTAACACATTAATGTATCACTGTTTTTTTAAAGATGAATGATCTTTAGAATCTATTTTTTTAGATTGTGTGTGTGTGTGTGTGTGTGTAAACTATATATATTGATTATACCCTATATACACACTAGCACTATATATTTTTTAAGGAATCATTAAGAGCGCATTGATCAAAAGTGACACTAGACGTTTACTACATTCTACATTTACAAGATTTCGACAAAAATATTAAACATTGATAATAAGAAATATTGAGCCGGAAATTCAATATATTATTATGATATACTGGAGTAATGATGCTGAAAAATCAGCTTTAACATCACCTGAATAAACAGGGCTGTCAAACGATTAATCACGATTAATCGCATCCAAAATAAAAGTTTGTGTTTAAATAATATATGTGGGTGCACTGTGCATGATTATTTTATATATATATATATATATATATATATATATATAAATACACACACATGCTTGTATATATTTAAGAAATATTTTCATGTTGTATATATTTATATATAATTTATATTTATTCTTATATATACATTTTTTCTTAAATATACATGCATGTGTGTGTATTTATATATATATATATATAAAATAATTATACACAGTGCACCCACATAAATTTTTTAAACACAAACTTTCATTTTGTATGCGATTAATCGTGATTAATCGTTTGACTGCCCTATAAAATATATTAAAATAGGGAACAATTATTTTAAATTGTAAAATTTGTCTATTAACTGAATTTACTGTATTTCTGTGTGTGTGTGAGAGAGAGAGAGAGAGAGAGAGAGAGAATATATATATATATATATATATATATATATATATATATACTTTTCCTGCAGAAATTAAGGGTTTTGAAAATAGGATGTGACCCATGACCTTAAGACAGACTGTACTTTGAACAGACTGTACTTTTATTGCCTCGTAGCCTCATTTGTGCTAATGTAGTGTAAATATGGTGGTTACTCTGACTAAGTTTAGTCAGATTTTCTGCAAGAAAATAATTTAGCTCATTAACAGAAATCCTGACCTCCCGTCGTAAAACAGGCGTTCTGCATTAAACCGTCAGTCTGTTTGACTGTACAAGGGCTTGAATGAAGGTGTTGAGGGGCCGTTTGGTGTCAGGCCCCTTTTGATAACTGTGAATTACTTAGTGTATATGTCCTCCAATGCAGACAAGCCCTTACCCTACCATTCAGATCCCCAGAGAAATAGACGCACCGATTCCTAGTTCAATCCATAGGTAGCTTTTGCATAAAATCTTTCCAGAAATGCTGATTTTTTTTTTTTTATTTATTTATTTAAAGATGGCCTATTTAATTTCCCCATCCTGCTGAAAATCATGCCCCTCCCTTTAGCTCATCCAGAAGAACAAAAGCAAGTTTGTGTACGTTTTTGTGAATGTTGTCCCACTCTGGAGACTTGGAACTGCATTTCTGAGCCATAAGTATACTAGTTTTCATCCTCTAATAATCTTCTGACAAACTCGCAAGCTGTGATTTTCATTCCATACACATCACTCATACTTTCATCTTTCATACTGATTTTATGTTGTGTACATTAATATTATATTATCAAGCAGGAGATGAAAGGAAATGAACAAATGTGCCAAAAAGTAATTAGCGTTTTTTAGCTTTTCTTTGAGGTTTGTAGATAACTAATGCTGTTCGAACCAGCACTATGGTGCCACCTCCTGGAAATCTTGAGACTACAGACATCTCATATTTTCCTTTTTCTTCTCTTTGTTTCTCTAAACATAGAAGTTTTTATTTTTTTTCAATGATTTACATATGTGCCCCTTTTTATTGAATTTCATGTGTTTATGAATCTGTTCTGTTTAGCTTGAATTCCAGTGACTGACTTGCACATTTGGTGGCCACTCTCCCTGACCTTTGCCCTTTACTTTCCCCCAATGTAGCGCAGACATCAGTGGTTCTGCATATTTAATGAGAATGAAAATTGCAATTGATTTCTTTGTGTTTTTAATCAACCACTGGCAGGACGTAACATAAAATAAACACATCATTCACATGACTACGATATGTTCTAAAGGTTTGTCCATTTTGTTTTCTGACTAACAAAAGCACAATAAAAAATGGCAAGAAATGCAGTATACACTGCTTTAATGAGCATTGTTTTCTGGTGGGTTGATTGCTCAGTGAGGTTGTGACCTATTGCTAATGGAGCCTCATTTATAAAAAGGGCCTCATTTATAAAATGTTGCGTATAACCATCCTACATTTGAGCTTACGATCATTCCAATGTTCGTACGTGTGATTCAGAGACCGCACAAAGAAAACGTGCACACAACACTCTTCTAGATGTGAGATTATAAATTGCAAATGATTTGAAAATTCTGCACAGCTGAATGGTGCAGATCTCTACGACACCTAATTAATGTCATTAACAGGTAAAAGATCACCAGTCAATGTCCAAATCCTTAAGGGCTTACTTGAGAATGGCAGGCGGCATTCGAAACTGCGTCTCTCAAAATTGCGTAACAGCTTTAGGCCGCGTGTCCACCAAAGACGCTCTGACGCTCTGCTGAAGACGCCGTGCTTTGGGCGCTTGAGAGCGTTTTGGCAGCGCAGCGTTTTTTCTGTTGAGACGTTTCGTTGCTATGATACAGACAACACATTCTCATCCTTTAGAGTCATATAGAACGCTATATGACAAAACGGCGCTATACTACGCACATGGCACCCGTTATCGTTAATATAACACGCGCTGTGATGGTTAGGTTTAGGCGTGGGGTAGGGTAGGGTAGTCTCATATTACGCGAAAGGATTTATGATGCCTTGGGTTCGCGTGAATATTAACGATAAAGTGTGCCATGTGCGTAGTATAGCGTCATCGCTTCAGCGTGAAAAAAATGCTCGGCGCCTCGTTACGCTCATGCCGTTTAAAAAACGCGGCGCTCCCATTGAAAACAACTGAAAACATACACCAGGCGCGTGGAAAAACACTTTGGTGGACACACAGCCTTAGGGAAACTCTTTTCTACGAAATTCCTGAAGCCTTGCAAATTTAGCCAATGGCGCTCCAGCGCTCACACACTGGGTGGGCCCAGCCGTTATATAGGTTGCGCTGAATGTCAGATTATCTAAGAATCTTTCTCCTTCCCATAGAGTTCCTGGACTCGCACACCAAATGCTTGTTGTGCTTGGGCCACGCACACACTGAAGGGAGGCAAGGAAAATCTGATTCCCACTTCTGTGAGGACCTGCCTATCCACAGGGCTGGGGGAGAAACAGCTCCCTCAGGAGGCTCTGCTGATGAATTAATGCTGGCCCAGCACCCGTGGTTTCAATCTCCATGAGAGCCCCCAGTATCCTACACTTAGTGTGGGACCTGGACTTTTTTGTAAGACGACATGATGTCTACAAGCGCCTATGGAAGAGATGAGCACCACTCCAACTTCTCTGGATGGGGAGCTCATGAGTATCATTTCAAAGGCTGTTGCTGAGATGGGCCTGAAGTGGTCAGTCCCAGAGCAGCCAGTAAAGAAGAGGATGGATTGGTATTCTCTCCATGTAGGCCGCCAGTTGAACGCCCAGCAGAGACCAGCGCCCTTCTTCTCTGAGTTGCATCATGAGCTCACACAATATCGTTGCTATGATACAGCTATGAGCCCCTGCCCAAGGAACCCACCTACTTTCGGTGGTGGAAGGGGCAGATAAACATGGTTATCCCCGATTATGAACTTGGCTCATCCTGCAGTTTTATGCTGGACACTCTGAATGTCTGTTTGAGGTGGTTTAATGTTGTATGCACCAATTTACTTGTTGCTCAGACTGATCTCATGAAGTAGCGTGTGTATGACACGCCAATTCGTATTTCCATTTTTGGCGTGCTATCAACACGCATAATCACTTTTCAGCGTGTTTATGAACGCCGTTGACTTAACGTTATTACTGTATATATAAATATATGACTTACCTCAACCCTGTCCCTAAACCTAACCGTCACTGGGGTTAATGGCATTTATGACTGTTACCATCCTAGGAAAGAAAAACATAGCTCCCCAGATGTAGATGTACATTTTGCTTTGTTTTGGTCGGACATTTGACGGCGTGTACGGACACGCGGAATGATGCGGACGTTAATGGCGTAGACATATAGGCATACATGCGGATACACGCAGATAGCTCAAGATGCGTCGAGATAACACGCCACTTGACTCGAAATTGGCATGTATGTTTACACAAAAGTCATGATGTCATGTTGTGCTACATTATTACCACTGTGCCACATCAGTCCAGCATTGCTCGATTGTGTGCAGGGTGGAGCTGAAGGTGCCGTTGCCTTTGCTACAGTAGTTTGGCACTCTGCCAGCTAGTTATAAAACCTTCTCAGGGTCCATGAGTAATTCTCGAAAATCTTGTTCTACCTATAAAGCGGCTGGGCCCGCCCACTGTGTGAGTGCTTGAGGCTGGGCGCCTTTGGCTATTGCAAGTGCAATAGCTTGATTCAATCAGGCTTCAGTAATTTTGGAGAAAGGAGTTCCCCAAAGCATAAGCTATTACATAATGCCTCGTTCTCTCCTCTCAGGGAACCATGATAACGGTGAGTAACCCAAGACCATTTCCAATATACCTGCAGTACTCCCACTCTCTGCCACAAGAAAAACATCTGCTTGCATCCTGAAGTGGTGCTAAACTCAACCTCAGACTTTTTTAATAAATATGACCGTTGGTGTGAATTTTAGAATATGCAAAGCATTGAAGCATCTCTGGGCAACAGCATTGAATTCTGACTTTCCCATAAACTAAAGGAAAATATTTGATCATACGATTTTGTATTGTTTGAAAATTCTGTTTTTCTTACAATAAGATAATTTTACAGTAATTTGGTAATGTTTGATATTAAAAGCATTTACTTTTCATGCATTGACCATTTTATGTTAGATTCTATATGCCATAATGTCAAGTGAATGATTGTAAGTGCTAATAATTAATTGCTGAATGATGACAATTAAGATCTTGCTTGTTTTTATTTTTCATTTGAACCACATTCTGCTCACAGAAGAAAATGAGAGTACATATAGTCTGGTAGGAAGGGGGGGTTCACCTGCACCCGAAAGATATATATTTTTTAACCTAGTTTATTGTAATCCTTAAGGTGTCTAGAAAAGGAATTTTGATGTTCCCCGCGCAAATTTTTGTCCCATATGTGATTTTTTGTATCATCTTTTGTGTCCGTGCTTGATTTTTGGCTGCGGAAAATGAAAACTTTAAATCTACATAGAATCTGAACAATACATCCTACAGACACAATCTACCCCATTTTCTCTTCGTC